ATTCTTGACTATGGAATTTTATTATTACATATATATATATATATATATAAGAGATTTGTAGAGATCATTTTGAACGTAGCATTTTGTTATACTTGAAGTATATTAGTGTAGTTCTACAACGCTTAAGTGTGTAAGGATATGAAATTCATAATGTTCATGTAAATTACAATTTGCTGTTTAATCACCGAGTGACGTTTCAAGCATTTAAAAACTTGCATACCTGTACAACCTGTGTTTATAAACTTTATATTTCAGTAATTAAATACGTCATGCATCGAAAAGATGAACCTAGTATCGAAACCATTATTATTCCTTTTGCTGTTAATGTATGATACAGCCCTATTATCTGAATAAATTAGAGAATACCCATTTCGGATAACACTTGTTTTCGGATGATACGTGGGATTTTATTCACATCATTTATCAAAACCATGTTTTGCAATGCACTAACATATCCATTTTGCAATATTATTTATCAGTATTACTTAAAATGGTGACTGAGTTAACTGGAAGAGAAACAAGTCGATAAAAAAATTTTAAATTTGGCAAAACTGCAACCATATATCAGCAAAGGTACTGTATAAAACTCTGCCAATTAGCTATAGCTGATAGGTCAACACAAGACCCTCTTCTTCAGAAGCTTGAACTTATGCCCTGTCGGATTCTTCAGGAGCAAAATATTTTGCTTCTGAAAAGAAGTATGTATGTCTGATTACGAGATCACTGTTGATGCGGTAGAAGCATTTTAAAGAGAGCAAATTCAGTTTGCAGAATGAACTGAGAAGTGGTCTCTCATAAGCATTTGTGAATGACGAAACATCGTGAAAGCTGAGAACTTGATTATGGTCAAGAACTATCAAGAAAACTTAATGGAGATAAAGCAAGCTGTCATGATATTATCAAGAAAACTCTGAAAATATATCATGTTTATATAAACTGGATGCCATGTAAAATGTCCTGAGTTCTTGAACGGAATAATACCCAGCTCTGGTTTAGACAAGATTTCCAAAGCAGCAATACAGAATTTGGAAACACATTGAAGATTCCCAAAAATTTCGATTTCTGTTCCCTCAACGAAGTTAAAGTTTATTTATTTTGTTTAATATCCTTGGAAAAGTACTTGCAGCATTCTGAATAAAACCTTCTGAAAAAGCATGGTCTAATAATAGTAAAGTGATTGTACGCTGTCTCTATTTATTGACGTTTCCAGCGCCTTCAGCGTCGAACTGAAGAAATGTGTGTGTGTGATTATGGCAAAGCCTCGATGGCTATCTGCCTAAGAGGAGGGATGCCTTCGTGGAGGACGTTTTAAAGGAAACTGGCTCGCATACGTTACACATGAGGAAAACCACGAAAACGCCCATGCAGCCAGCCCGTTCGCGGGATTCGAACCTCGGACCGAACTACCAGTGTTCAGCGATTTTACCGCTCGGCCGCTGGTGGGCGAACTGAAGAAATGAGAATTCGTATCCGAAAAACGTATTGGTATTCGCATACTTATACAAATGCATGAAAGCGCTTAGGTGAAAGTATATAGATTAATCAATTTGATGTAAGATACAGCAAACAGCTTTCTCGCAAGAGCAAAAATTTGCACTAATCTTCAAATATATCTTTCGCATATACCTTAATACTATTTAAAACAAAATTCAATTTCCTGAGCTAATTATTCTTTACTATATAAAATAGCCCAATTTTAACCTACAAAAGCCACAAAAAATATAAGTTTCTGTAATAAGTAATATAAGTTTTTCTGTAATATAAGTTTTCCACAAAAAATATAATTCTTTTATAAATATTAATAGAAACATTCTTTTGCATTTCAAGTAACTAAAAATTTTATTGCCCAATAGTTTCTTCAAGAACTTTTCACTGTTCTTTTAACATTCGCCCAACAATTTATCTACTAATATTATTTTCATCAATAAACTAATAACAACCGATCAAGCTAAGCTAGAATCGATTGAGATATCAGGCCGTATATCTGACTACTGAAAGCTGAGTGATTAATAAATGTTTATCATTTCGTAAGAATTTTTCATTTCTTATTATTGCTTATCAGCTTCTGTAATTTCGAAAATGAAAATTAAAAAAACTATTAAACATCTATATAATATCTATATAAATATTAAAAACGCTCAGAATTTTCTTGAAGTACTCATCCCTTTTTAATGTTACATCCGAAAAAAATATTATTCCCATTTTTATTTCAAAAATCGTTGCTGCAAAAATAATATACTACATAGTTGCTGCTAAAAATTTCTAGGAAAAAATGTTTAAAGAGAACTACATTTTAATTTCATTCCTCAAGTCTTTCGCTTTCTTTCTTAGCATGAGGATTTCATTTTTTACGCTGCGTACGTCATCAAAATGGATTTAATTTCAAAGAGAAATGTGACTTTTTTTTCTCCCTAATTTGTTTTCCTTTCTCTAGACAATCAAGTAACGCACGCAAAAAGTACGACTCTCTGATGCAATTAATGTTGCAGATTCGTTGGTGCTGCCATCTGTTGTAGAATATTGTCATTAATGAGTAAATTCGAAAAATGTTAATTTAAATATGTTTTGCAGAGTATTTCAATCTGAACACTTCTCAAAATTAAATATGTAGTTGAATTTAATGGGAGTAATCTCATTACTTATTCTGCATATTTAAAACGAATTAAATTTCATTAAATTAACATAGTCGCAGTACTGTTAACAAAGTACTTTTCCAAATGTTCCAATGAGTTTTCTCTCCCCCTCCCTTGGAAAAAAAAAGTAATATTTTATAATTGTTCGTATTTTATTCATGTAAATCATATTATTTTGCATACTTTAAATGATGAAAAGTCTACTATTGATAAAGTAAATCAGTAAAATATTGCTTCGTCTACCCATCTGCTGAACGGGCTACCTGTAAGGCTTTCATCTCAATTGTGTAGACTAGTTTCCTACGGAAAGAGCTGCAAGAAATTATCTCACTTCATAGGTAGATAGTTGAAGTGTGCTCTGCCAATGATCAAATAATCCTGCCCATAAAAGAATGAATGAAAATTGTGTACATCTATCACATAAATGATATGTAATATAAATTTAGTTAAATCAAAGGATATAAGTAATGAACTTTTTTTCAGCAACACTTGCTATCGAATCAACACTTGCTATAATACTATAGAATGAGTGCTGGTCATTAAAACAATTTAATAATTTACCTTTCGTTTCGTATTATTACATGTTCGTCTTTTTTTTTTTTTTTTTTTTTTTTTTTTTTTTTTATCAGCTTTTTTACTTATTTATATTTTGATTGTGAAGCTGAGTTTTTCTCGGTTTGATGTCAAATATTACAAAGTCTGCAATTTAAAATTCATTTAAACCGGATGTGATTTTCAACTTAATAAAACCCTTAAACATTTGGCGTCAAAAATTTATGAGCCTAGATAAATACATCTCAGGCTGGATAACCCAACCCCCCCCAAATGAAATAAAAATTATTCTCCTTCTTTGCAGCTCCTTTAGAAAACAGCTTCAGCAGTAGAATTCCCCCCTCCTTAAAAACAAATGATCCTCATTTAAGTCCTTAGATATCTATGTAAGAACTTCCAGCTAACTATATTTTAATGCCCATATAATAATAAACATAGATAAATAATGATGTTTAATGCCAGATGAATAATAACTTTTTCTACAATGTACAAATAGTTTTCTTTAAAATGTTAGCTTTCTTACTCATTGATTCTTAATTATGTGATTTATTAACTATTCCTTTTCGCTTCCTTTCACATTCTAATCACATATTCATCTCTAAAGCCAAATTTGCATATTTCTCTGAAGTATTTTAGGATGTACTTTGTTATATGATATAAAACATTAATAAGCCATTTATTATCTTCGTCTGTTTAATTCATTACGGCAAATCATACGAGGCTATGATTAAAAATATCTGTCTTCGGATAAGACATAGTAAAGAGCACTGGCCCGTTATAGAAGGGGAAACACCCATGCAGCGAACCTCTTAACCACGATTCGAATCCAGGTTAACAATTCTGTTCTTAAATAAATTGGCAACAAATATCTATTTATTTTATGCTTGTTTACTTTTGTGCCTTTTCTAATCATATAAGTGATGTTTAAAAAAGTGTTTAAAAAAATTGCTATCATATTGTTGCGTTTTTTTTTTTTTTTTTTTTTTTTTTTTTTTTCTGACACCAGTAGTTACGTTATTTTCTTCATTCACGTTCGTACGGGGTTCGTTGATTTGGAGTGAATAACGACGACAGCACTTGATGGAATATCGAAACACACTTTATTTCGCCAATATTATTCAGGACAGCTCCAAAATTACGTTACAGTCGTCGAAGAACTACTATAAATACGCTGGAACAATCAGCGACACAGCCTTCAGGTTATCAGGCTATAACGGTGGAGATAGCTTCACTGCAGAGCACCCGAGTACAGCTCCCGACTCTGCTTGGTTGTTCTCGGAACTCCACGTACTCTCGAGACTCTCCACGCTACACTCGTGATGCACTCGACGACAAACGAGCACAGCTCCGGACTCTTCGGTTCAGTCATTCCCGGAGCTCAAAACACTCTCTCGACGATGCACTAACCGCGATACACTACGAGACTCTTTCGGTGCACTCGACGACCCACTCGGCACTCGCTGCCCGACTGTCAACTCGATCGACTCCGTAAGGATTGACTCGCTAGACGAGACACCAACTGGATACTAACTAACTCGCACTCTAGACGAGGCGCACACACTAACTGACTGCGGACCAGCAGGGTTTATATAGATTTCGGCATGTGTTCGAGAGCATTCTGGGCTAAACCGGGAAGAATTCGTTCCAGAAGGTTCTCCATCTGTCCATGGCATATCGCCAATTTTGTCGCCAAATGAGCGATATCTCGCCAAATGGGGAAACCCTGCCTTCCCTTTATGGCAACCCTAAAACTGCAATGCGAGGAAGCTATTACCACGCCTGTACATTTCGTAACAATATATTTTTCATTCGCAGCCAGAACTAAAATCTCTGGTTCGAAGAGGAGTGCCTGAACAACTGAGAAGTCGTGTTTGGAGCTCCCTGTACAGGATGAAAGTTAGAGACATACGTGAAACTAAAGGACCAAAGTACTTTGAAAATCTCTGCACTAAAGCAGCAGAAGCAGAGGTATGTAAATTTCAACTATCATGCTTAGAGCTGGTTTGTACCTGTTGAAATGAGTCGTCGTTATATATATATATATATATATATTGTTTGTTTGTTTCTCAGGCCTTTTGTCAAAGTTCAATTAAATATTCTCGGTGTGAAAGTTTTGCCATTTCCTAAAAATGAGTGAACATGTATGTAATCATACACAAAAGTAATAATGTGATATTCAAAATAAAAGAACAGTGTTTCCATTTAATATACAAGATGTATGGAAAAAGTGGGTACATACTTCATTACCTTAACATATTTATCCTAAATACTACAAATTACTACAAAATACGATTTCAAAATATTGATTACAAATTTTCACAAAATGAAACACAGTACTTTGAAAACAGTTTCAAAATTGTGAGTGAAAGTGTTTTCACACAGTGCCGTCTTAATTACACGTGTCATTGGGCACTTGCTCGGGGGCCTTACGAGCGTAGGGTCCCCATGCTAATCTGTGCATGTCAACTGACTTGCCATTAAGGTATGTATGTGCCTACCCTAAATTCGTCACTTTGGAGAAAATTTTCGAAAATGTTTTATTTATTCATTTTATAGGCCATACATTTAGGTTTCCAAAAATGCTTTATTTTTGTTTTTACAATAACTAAAAGAAAAGTTGTAAACCGGAAGTGAATTTTTGGATGCCGGAAGTTGGCATTTAAATGGTCGTAAAAATTTAAACAATAAGTTTAAACAACTATTTTCTAATTATTAAACAATATAAAAGCTGTAAAAGGAACACATCTTTCACTGTGTGACACTTGCTTACATACTTGACCTTGCTGATAAAATGCCTACATGGGAAAACTCTAAACAATAATGAGTGTTTTAATAACCTTTTGAGGACTATTTTACCTAAAGAAACTTTCGTCCAACTGAAAGCATTGCTTTTAGGTGCACATATTGCTGTATTATTATTTAATTCAAGATATTTAGGACTTTTACCTATTTTCAGGTATATAGAAATAAAAATTAATCCCATTATGCTTGAAAGCTACGTGGAAATAGACAAACAGCGAATTCAGAAATCGAAACGCTAATCTCTACAAGCAACAAAGTTATCCAGAAAAATGCTAAAAGAAAGTCAAAATTAGTTAAAAATGAAGTAAAAGAGAGCCTAACATACAAATACGGGGCGGTTTAAAGTTCTAAAGTGGCTACAAATTTTTTTATGCTGTATTAAAATCTTTAAATGCATTTTCTGACTCAAAATGTATTTAGAATATTGAAATGAATGTTTTCCAAAATGTTTTATTCATCTTTAGCTATGTTCTGTAGCAAAATCTGATTTTTTTTTGTATTTATTTATTGATTTTATTGACAGTACTTTGAAGAAAAGAGGATTTTTTTTTTTGTTTTAATTTTGAGTTTTTGTACTATGTTTTGAATATTTCAAAAATATTTATATGTACAGCAAATCTTTTGCTACAGAACACGAGTATGTTATTTATATACTGTGTAAAGATTATTGAAGTATATTGATAGGATCTATTATAGGAGATCTGGCGTAAATGAAAATTTTCACTAAAATTTTACTAAATATTATCTATATTTAAAAAATTAATTAAACGTTTTATAAAGTCCCATTTAAATTCATAGTTTTATATGTCATCTTAATCAAAAACATGTGTGTTTAATTAAAATTTTATATATTTTAAAAAAGTGCTTCGTATGTAGGCACATACCTTAATATGTTAGTTGTTGCTGTCTACGTCTGAGTACATTGATTTACTCAGACTTAGAAAGCAACAACTAACAGGGAAGGCATTGCGCCTGTAAGAAGTTAAAAGGAAAAGGATTCATATTTTTAAGTTTATAGAGCTATTCGAGAATGAATTTACTCAGGTCAATTTTCAATGCATGCTAACAAATTAAACTCAAATTATTTTAAGCAGAAATAAATTCTTCAACCGCATTTCAGAAATTTGTAAAACATTTGTAAAACAAAATGTGTTGGATTCAGTGATTAACGGCTTTGTCTTAATTAAAGCAGCATTATGCGTTTAGTTTGCAGTTTTCTGCATGAAAACATTATTTAAGAATATATCTGAAAATTGCATACCTGTAGGTAAGAAATATTTTGTGTTTAATGGTTTTTATAAACAATTTGTGATATTTTTTGCCTTAGTTTTAAAATATGGAGCTTGTGGAATTTGCCAATAACAGAAAAAAAATGCGGTGAAATTTCTGTATGAACACAGAATTTTGCTGAAAATTTTCTAAAAGAATCAATGAGTAAATGCGTTTCTTAGATAGCCACTGTTGTCGAGGTTTGAACGAAGCAGAGTTTCCGCAATTTTCTGATGTTTTCTTAAGCGAAACAGATCGCTGTGTACTTAGGGAGAATAATAACGCAGAAAGAAAAATTACAGAAAGATTTGAAGGAGAATGCAAATTTTCTTTTATTAATGTAACACATAATTCTTGTTTAATAATTCAAATTTGTATTTTAAATTACCATAATAGGTTTTTCTTTCATATGTTCATAATGTTTATGAACATACGATTAATATTTATAATTTGAGAATCTTTGTAAAAAAAAGGCTCAAAAACCACCAACTTGTACCCGTTGAATAACTTTTATTTTATCCGCTGTAAAAAATTCCCAAATTGCGCCATGGTGGTTGCGTTAATATGTGTGTGTGTAAGCACCTTATTTTGAACTTTTGGTATCTTTAGGTAAAAGAGTTTTGATAATTAAATTTTATTGTAAAATATCAACATTTCAGTTCTTTGAATAGAATTCCAATTTAACGAGATTCTAAAGTTATAACTGCTAATCTATACTAATGGCCTTTCCTATGCATTTTTGTATCTTCCTTTATGCTCCAGAACATTCGTAGTATACATGGATGCAATAATTATCATTTATTTATGTTTAGTACAAAGTACAGCGATGCAATTTATGAAAGATCCAAATATACGTATCCTTTTCAAAATAAAAACAGAAAAAATATTGAAATTTCTAGATTTTTTTTCATCTGCGTTGATGAAGAAATGATACAATATTTTCATTAAACTGAGGTTTTTAAATCCATATATTAAACACGTAAATATTTCTTTGATTATATTTTAATATTAGCCTTAAGAAGAGAATTAATATCTAGGCATCCTAAAAGTAATCTACATGAGCTTAGATACTCGATCTTATACTAAAACTATTTTTACTCTATGAGAAATTAATGACATTGATCACTTTAATGCAATTTAATCACTTTAATTTAAATTGATCACTTTAATGGAAATTATATCCTCATAAGTTCAAAGCAAAGCAATCCCGGCATGTTGTTTAAGTACGTCTTAGAATTAAACTGATGTGATTAATTTGTCTCTTCCTAGTTTAACTAATCCCTTCCCAGTTTCTAAATTGATTAAATTTCTTTTGATGTCCATGATCCATCGAAATTGTCTACTTTTACATCGACGTAAATTATTTTAACTAATTTTATTCATTCTTTTCGTATTCAGCGACCTTTCGAAATTTCATAGAGTTTCCTGAAGAGAATCTACTCTTTCATCTTCCATTCCATCGCTAATCTTAAGTTCCCCCGCGGAAAATAACCTTTTACGCTAATTTTTCACGCTGTCAACTTTGATAGAAAATCGTAAAAATTGTTACGGGGGTAAGGCTAAGCGTGAAACGAAACTGTTCAATCGAAAAACACATCCGTAGAAGAGGCGTGAGAAAAAACTTATCAAATGTGACAATTTCAAATTTAAAGCAAAAATCCATAGAACTGATATGTTTAGAAAAATGTACTTCTGAGCTAACGAATATGGCTCACTTTGCAAACAGTTAACTGGCTATGATTTTTAAAAAAAGGGGGGGGGTAATCAAATACCAATTCGGAATCCAGCGTTTGACGCTTTAATCAATCATGTGATGCCATCTAGAGCATGGACAAAGTATAAAGATAGCTGTAGACATGGAATGTCTTGATTTTAATTATCTCTTCAGCAAGGCTGATATTCGATTTGTCAATATTTACATTCCATAAAATCTTTAATCGTCATTTCAAATTATAACATGACAACATTTTTAGCATAAAAAATGAGCTATGTAGAAACAATATACTAGTTTAGTTATCTAGTTTTGTGGATTCCAGATATGTAAACCGCCCAACCGAGATAGTGGTTATTGACTCCGACTGCCGTATCGAAGGGCCCGGGTACGAATCCGGAGAAGGCATGAATGTTTGTAAATGCACAGTGTTTTGCACAGTAGTGAGGCACTCAAAATATGCGAAGAGCCAAAAGTCCTCTCGAGAGGTTGGTATCATTTCAATTCAGTAAAAAACAGATCATTCAAAATTCTAGATAAGCAAAAGAAGAAAGGTTGCTTACCTTTATGATCCGCGTTCTTCGATTCTGGTCCGCCGCTTTTGTAGACTCCGATTTGGTTTCAAACTCATCTAAAATTGGCACTATTTTGTATAAGTCGCTTTATTTGACATTTCACACAAAAGAGGAACAATATCTAAATCATTGCAACATCAAAAACACTTCTAACTACTTAGCGTCATTTTTTTACATATCTAAATGCGTCATTATTCTACTGCGTCATTGTTCTAAAACATAAAACTCATCGTTGCCAGTTTTCAAAAAACAAACTTTCTTTTTCGATTCTCGTCGGTCTGGAGACTCAATCCGCTCCCCAAGGCGTAATGGCAGACCGCACATTGAGTTGAACAGTGTTAAACTAATGTCGCATACTGCGCATGCCCAGAAAACAATTTGGCGTAATTACTATGTTGGCGCGATTTGAAAAGAAGATAAATACGGTATATGGTAGATGTATCGCCATCTGATTGTAAACAAATCTGGCGTTTAAATCCTCGTAGAGTATAATATAAATGTAAATTAATTACTGTATTAAAATACCATTTTTTGCTGTACTGCTCAAACAACTAGAAAGCTGAAATTATTGCGAAGTAATGTGAAGCAGTGCTTGCATTCAAAATGTAAAATATAATACCTATGAAATTCTGCACATTCCTTTGGAACTGTACAAATTTTCGTTCAGAAAAAGACTGAAATTTAGGATATATTAGTTGAAAATTTATTCATTATACTTTTAATCAATAAAAACAATTCAGGATTTACCATACGTTCCATTCGTACATACATAAAGAAACACTGAGGGATATAACAAGTGCTTGCAAATAACACTGAAGAAGTTTTACAATTCCTTAATGCTAGTTATTAAATTCTTTGAAATGATAAAATAAAAGCGCGAATATACGCTAACAAACTAAGCGAGATACTCCAGTTTACAATTACGCTGAATTATAACATGTAAACAAATTACATTAAATAACAAATTATGGCACGAACATATGTTAACAAATATTAAATGCACTGTTATTGACTAAATTACAAATGAAATATATATTAGAAAAATAAGCAAGTGCAATCGGTATGGACGTTAAAATAACTAATAAGCAAAGTTCCACAACACTACAATTGTAAACATCACTCGAACACACTCGACAGCCATGATGATCACGAATAAGCTAGCGTAGGGTTGCTTAGTCGCCAATATTTCTCCCCGCGCCAAAGGTACACCATCAAGCATGCGCACTAAGCGAAATTTGCTTAACATTGTTCAACTCAATGTGCGGTCTGCCATTACGCCTCCCCAAGAGCGGAGTGTGCGTCGTTCGCGACAGTTGGGTGTAGGGGAAGAGGGATGAGAGCTCCTTGGTCCCGTCCCCCTGAGGTGTTCTCTTCAAAATTTGAGGGCGGAACTGAGCAAAGTCGTACTGATACCTGTATGGTGATCAAGGCAAACGCAATCTTGATTCCTTGCTAGAATGAAATTCTTCGGCTCGCTCTGATATCAGACAAGCGAGTTTAGCCACAACAACAACCAGATATCCAAAACTTGAGTAAAAATGAACTACGTAGAGACAATATACAGTTAAAATTGTCTATATTTTCTAGCTTAACTGATTTTCAAGAAAGGTCCATTAACACTGTGCATTATACGCTAAGCAACAGTGATTTGATCAAAAAAGAAATCGAAACATGAGTTTTCAGAATCTAAGCTCTACACAAAAATAAGCCTCAGATAAAATCATCAATCAAATAGATGCCAGGCTTATTACCAAATGACCAATCAGAGCGCAAACAGAACACTAGTGATAACGGAAATGATTATGACTAATTAAAAATCTTCATTATTCAGTGTATCGTGTTAGAGTGCTTGCTTCATATACTTAAATGAAAATAGAGAAATATCTGATTCGTGCCTGCAGATTTTTGTCACTTACTGTGAGGTTCATCAATCTTAATGGGTTTTGTTGCCATGCCTGTCTCTTAAGTGTACAATTAATACTTGATTTAACAGTAGATGATTTAAAGAAAATAATATTTTGATCCCCAAATAAAGAACCGTGAGATTTGCTCTATCTATATCTGCTAAAAACTTGTCCCAGAAAAAAATTTTCAGTAACTATGTGGAGTAAATGACATTTAGTAAAGCTGTGACAGAACGCTAAAGATGTCGGCAAAATGAGTTACCATCTGAATTTTTTCCATTGTTAGCTTCCCATTTGTGGTCGAGTACTCCATTTCTCAACTAAAAAGATTCCCATAAGTGTGCAAAACACAGAGCCCAAATATTGGTACCTCCGAAACTTGCAAGTCAGGTTTTCATCAGTAAGTTGTTATTGCCAATTCTATTACAGTTAACGATCTAGTTTTCTCGATTCCAGATTTCCAAAACTACAGTTATCTACACCGCATGTTACTTATTTTAGGCCAAATAAAATTACATTTTGTTAAATATAAACTTACTAATGTAGCTTAATTAAAATGGTATACAATGTCCGTCAACTTTGTACCATATAAACAAAACGAAAAAGCAATTATATGTACTGCATACTTGCCAGCTGTGAAAAATAATGAATCTGCTTATAATTTAACAGAAAGAAGTTATTCGTTCTGTTTATGCAAAAAAAATAATTACTTTACTTACTTTCATTATATGTGACTTGTATACGTTTAGGAGGCCACTTATTATTTATCCTAAATAAATAGGCTTTAGCCACTTCCATGACTTATCTAAAAAACCAACACCCTCTCGGAGCCTACGGTGTCATCCAAGGGCCGTGACGAGGTGAAGCTAACATCGCAAGCCCTACCACCTCTGGCTGTGTCACCGGCACTCTGAGCTTTCATCGTTATTTAGCACAAGTAAAATGCATTATATTACATGGCACATTTAGCAATGCATAGTTGTACAGGTGGATGTCTCATGATATTATGTATTGCAGTAGGTAAATGGTCATGTTTCTCAACATTATATACTGTAGTAGGGACAGGCATGATGTTTCTATTCTTCAGATTATCTTTACAAACATGATTTATGTACACTGCGCGGGGGAAAAAAAAAAATCTCAAAGTTTTCAGATTTTAAATTACGTTCAAAGGGACGCGTTTTTTAAACATTTTGTATGTTACCTTTCTTTATTAAATATCATGTTCCTCGCACTTAAACCATAAGATCCAGTGCAACAGCAATATCGCGCAAATAATTTTAAAACGAGCATATCTTTAGAATTTCCGATACAGAGACTCACGCGCTGGAGATAAAAATGTTTTTTCTGCACAACGTTGCCATTGCTCGCTTTGAAATCCTTGAGTTTGTTAATCAAAAATTCGTCAAAGTTTTAAAAAATAGAAATCGATCATAAAACAAATTTCAAATTTCAAATTTGGTCTTCCACATGCTCATATTCGTTGGAGGATTACGTTATTCAAAATTCGATGACTCTATGTACCGTTATTTTATGACAATGCGAGAAATATACATACATTTACGCAGATTTTCATTATTTAATTTCTTCAAATATAATGCAGGACTCTAACATTTTATTGCAACAGTTTGAAAAGTGAACCGACATTTATCCGAGTCCGACGCAAAATGCCAAAACGAAACTAATAGTCCTTCGGGATTCAAATCCCTTTGGACTAAAAAAAAAAAAAAAAATCTGAAATGTTTCAGATTTTAAATTACGTCCAAAGGGGCGTTTTTTAACATTTCATTTGTATGTTACCTTTCTTTATTAAATATCATGTTCCTCGCACTTAAACCATAAGATCCAGTGCAACAGCAATATCGCAAAATAGTTTTAAAACGAGCATATCTTTAGAATTTCCGATACAGAGACTCACGCGCTGGAGATAAAAATGTTTTTTTTCTGCACAACGTTGCCATTGCTCGCTTTGAAATCCTTGAGTTTGTTAATCAAAAATTCGTCAAAGTTTTAAAAAAATAGGAAATCGATCATAAAACAAATTTCAAAATTTGGTCTTCCACATGCTCATATTCGTTGGAGGATTACGTTATTCAAAATTCGATGACTCTATGTACCGTTGTTTTATCACAATGCGAGAAATATACATACATTTATGCAGATTTTCATTATTTAATTTCTTTAAATATAATACAGGGCTGTAACAGTTGGTATTTAAAACTACAAATTTTAAAAATAAATCACAAAATTGGCGAGTTTTATTTGGAATGAACGTAAATTTCGAAAAGTGTTTAAAAAAATCACAGAATCAAAAAAGTTTAATAAAAAAAGAAATATTAACAAATATATACCAAATTCAATTAACATTCAGGAGCTAAAATTTTGAGAGATAATTTTTTAAAAAGTACTCGTGCGATGGTTACAAAACGTGACAATTTGGATACTTTGAGTTGTATAATCGAAACATGGAAAAAATTTGGCATGTGATTTCAAAAAACGTCCGATTTTGTGTCAAAATATCTATATTATAACAATGCTATATATAAATGTAATATATATCCTAAGTTGCGCTTTTGTGTCATGAGAAACGCAAGATGAATTTTGTCAATCGGCCCAGTAGAACGGGAGACATAGAACTGCCCCCCTTTCTTTTTTTTTTTTTTTTTTTTTTTTTTTTTTTTTTTTTTTTTTTTCTGCGCAGGGTACGTCGTCAAATTTAGAATCAAAATGAAATTAGAGCTACAAATTTGTTTACAAAAATTACCTCAAACTGCATAACATGAACGTTTCTAACATGAAGTATTGTATTATCCCTGCTGAAGAATTTTCTCTTTTTTTCCCCTCTTTTTTCTTTTCTTCCTGAACAGAATCATTTTTTCCATTGCATAAATCTTTTGCTCAGCCAATTCATTACATACAAGGCCGATTCATTAATGGGAAACCTTTTTTTATTCCAGCTGCCTGAAAACCACAAGAGACAAATTTCTCTGGATCTTCTTCGTACAATGCCAAATAATGTAAACTTTTGTGACAGAAATTCAGAAGGGGTAAGTTAAGAAATTTATCTTTAGCAGCCTGAAAATTTTAGAACTTAATTGTAAATTATTTGTGAATTAGCCTAATGAAAACTTTAATTTTCTTTAATTACTGAATTATTTGACTTTCTAATATATATTCCATTCCGGTGAAGGTATTCTTTTATATAATTGTAAACATTATATTAGGATATTTTAATGCTTTTGGTTGGCCTTTATCATGAATCTCTGAATTATTTCACCTCGCGTTAATGATTATTCGACATAAAAATCGAATTATTATCCTAATCTCAACCAATAGATACGAGTGCTTAAATGTGGGTTGTATATTGTTGTACATTGTATATTGTTGTATATTGTTGCATGTTACAGGTTCAGAAAAATTAACTTAAATAGCTAGGCCATAAGAACAGGAAGTCCTGAAATTTCATTGAAAAAATAATAACTCTTAGTCCTAAAAGAATAAGAGACAACACAGAGATCATAATCAATAATCATCGACTAGTGACATCATGCTATTGACGGAAATGAAGATGCTATTATAATAATGATGTTAATGGTAAAGTGCAGGATCATGCCATTCACCCGGCTATTCTTTTTACGTATTTCATTTGTCCTTCTTAACGATTGGGATTAATATATTTTAAAGACTGGGCGTTTTATTTAATAGCCATTAACCTTGAGCCATGAGATTAATATTATGAACCTGAATTCTCCCACCAAATCGGAAGCTATTTAATTTTTTTTAAAGAATGCCTTTTCTTTAATATGACGGTTAGTTAATATCGGATAAGTGTATACTTCTGTTTAGTGTTTCGAATTTTAATTGCATGTATTTCTTATTTATAAAATACCCTAGGTTCGATGTAAATATTTCCAAGATAGAGAAATTAAGAAAACTTGTATAAAGTTTCAAATATTTGAGGATTTACTGGGCTGTGTATTAATTGTTTAATTAGAAAGCATGTTTTTTGGTCAGAAGCCATGATTTGAAAATATATCCAATTATTTCCAGTAGATGGCAGCACTATGCTGAGTCTAAAGCAAATTTGACAACGTTCCTTCGTTAGCCTGTCAAAGAAGGAACCATAAATAGGAATATTTCCAAAAAATAGGAAATTCATATTTTTTAATCTAAATTTAATCTTTGTAATCCAATTCCAGCTCAGCAGCTGAAACAATTTTAAACTAAGCGACAATTTGCAAGCTAAAAGAATTTATTTTTAATCTGTAAGCTTCGCATTACTGTCTGGTATTGCAGGTTTACCTTTAAAATTATCGAGTAAATTTTTATCGAATAAAAAATATAACAAAAATCACAAGAATAGTTTTCTTCTTTAATAAAAGCAATAAGCACACTTGCTAAGTCATAAAACCAAATCTTTATGCTGTTAGATAAAATTAAAATTTAAATTAAAAAAATACACACAATTTTAAATTCTGCATTTCTTTTTCTAAAATATACTATATAAACAAATGAACAAAAAAATACCAAAATATTAAAATATTTTGCTACCATTTAAAGAAAATTAAATAAATAAATATAAATATTGTGTAAAAATTAGTTTATTACTAAAAAATTTTCTTGTTTGATTTTGTTTTGTGTATAGATATTAATATACAAAAGATGTAGAGTCAATTATCTTCCTATTGATATATTGTTGATGATATTAGAAATTAACACTTTTACGACACTAATAAATATCTAAAATTCGAAAAATTTTGCTCGTAGTCAAAATCGTAAAAAATTAAAAATAAATATTGCATATTGCCGATGCAATCATACATTACCTAATGGTATTATTTCTGATATTTACTTTTAATGGAGACGACTTTATGGTTTATTCGCTAACATAAAATGCTACAATGCTCTCTAATAATATTTCAAACATACATTTATTTGAAATATTGTAAAAGAGTTTGAATAGCAAATATATGTAATTTAGATCGTTAATTGTCGAACTCTGAACTCCATAGGACAAAAGCTTGTCTTAAAAAAAAAGTAATTCCGCATTCAGTGAAAAAAAAAAATCAGAAAAAATAATATATATATATATATATATATATATATATATATATTTACAGAGTTTAAATAATTGTATTATCAGTGTTTAGTTTTTATTTTTTATTTGAACCGTCTGGTTCAAATACTCTACTTGCGCTAACGCTTGTTACGATAGATAGTAGGTAGATAACCACTGAGAAAATATTTTTTTTGGTTGTGACTACTATCAGTTATTGCCCAGAAATCATTCATCAACCCAGAAATCGTTTCACTGATAGTATATTTCCTTTTCATCTCCAATGATGACATGCTGCTTGCTAAGAATTTGGGTCCAATGATGACCCAAATTCTTAGCAAGCATTTACACATAATTCTTTCATTCCTGGTGTTAAGCGCTTTCGTTCCTATTTTCACACACTTCAGCTCATCTAGAATGATGTGATGGACTAGTACAATGCTAATGTCCAGTAATGATGTTGTAGAGTCGTTAGGTTTATCGACTCAGGAGCTTATAATGTCACCTACTGCATTGTAATGCAGTGGTTTTCTAAAATTATGTTACCTATAGCAGCAATGCTATCTTCCGTGACTGCTGAACCACAGCGAGAAACATCCTTGTGGTACTTTCATCTTCTCACTTAAGTCCACATCCTTATGAGCTGTACTTACGTCAGTAACCATACTGAATTCTCATATGACGATTAGTCTGTGTAGATTTCATTCCTCTGCTAAAGAAAATTAGCAGACTTGCTTGGTACACTGTTGTCTATTATCACGCCGACTTTTGTTTCTATGCGTGCCACTTGCATGCTAAAAGCATCAACTATATTAGCATTTCAAAGCCACAGCTTTACATAATATGTAAGAATTGCGTCTGTCTTATACGAAATTTTTAGTACATTTTTTCCTGTTTTCCAATGAACGGCCTAATATGATAGTAAAAATAAAATGCAGCGTATATGTAACTTATGTGATAATGCAACATGGTCTAAGAAATGTAGCTCGCAGCAGATGATAACATGACAAGTTAGACACCATCTTTCTGCCGCTATGTACATACAGGGTGCCGCAGCGTTCATAGTAGGATATTAAAAACACACCATAAAGCAGTAACTGTAATTTATTTATTACCTCTTATGCCAGTTAATAGTTGAAGGTATGCCATTTACGAATGTGTAATTCATTGTCCATTGAGTGGCTTACTTTTTGAATATGATGCCTGTCAAATGATGCTCCCTCTGCACAACACATTCATCTGGGCGGCGTTGGAAGCTTGCCATAACTCGGCCTTACGTATTCCCTGGGACATTGCCAACGGCAGTTCTGATGCGATCCTTCAACTCAGGAATGGTGGCACAACGTGTTCGGAAAACTTCTTGTTTCAGGTGGCCCCAAAGGAAAAAGTCTGCACATGAAAGATCAGGTTGTAAGGATCTTAAGTTTTACTAACGTTTATTTTATTTTAAATCTTTACTATCACTTCTTATTTTCTACTTCCGGCCAGAATTATAAGCGTGAAGGAGTTTATGCAAAGTTGTCTGGCGAACGCCAAGTATTTAAGTGTGGCCTTTTTGCCAAGAGAGAGAGAGAGGAAGCAGTGAGTTCGAAGCAGGCCGCTTACCTTAGAAGCTTACGCAGTTGCTATTTGCCTTCCAGGCCAGAGGTTTTAATCCTCTTGATAAATTAAACGTATTGTAGTGTTCACAGTCTCTGTGCTACATACGCTTCCTGTTATTATAAGGCCAATCTTATTCTAAAGTTAAATTAGAGTTTAGTTTTATTTTTATACCTTTACGTTAGACCACGAGTGGAGGGTCATTGTATTCCGAAGTACGGAAGTCATTGTATATAAAGAAAAATAAAGGGTCTTGTATACCCTTCGTCTGTATCCTGTCTACTTACTACAATTAGTGAACATAGCTTTAGTAAGCTCTCTGTTCCTAGTCAGGTCATTGTATGTTTCCGAAGAAGGTTAGAAGAAACATAGAACCTGATAGTGGCGCCCGACGAAGAATAACCATGGCCGAATTTCAAGAAGAACCTGTGCTGCCTGCAGAAACGGCTCAGAATCCAGAAATGCCAGCTGCCGCTCTGGAAGGATTTGGGTACATCGTCCAGACCATGCGCGCTTCGATGAAACCAGAAGCAACATTTAATGGAAACTCACAGGTAACCAGTTTTTTGGAAAAAATTGGATGACCACTTCATGCTCTACCCCGTGCACGAGTTTCAAAAAGTTATCTTAGCTACCAGCGCTTTGAGGGGCCAAGCGCTTAACTGGTTCAAATGTATCGGCAGAAGTCTCTTGGGTCAAGCAGGAAGTCCCACCTATACTTACGAAAATTTCAAGACTGCCCTACTAAAAACCTTCCCTGTTGTAAGGGATCGTGCGAAATTAGAAACAGAACTTTTCAGTATATATCAACAAAGAATGGAAAACCTCTCGAGCTTTATTTTAAGAAAAATTCACGTTTTCAAGCTCTTGTATGGAAACCGTCCGGATCCTGAAATAATTCAAGTGATTTTGCCGAGGTTACTACCCCAAGTGCAAGACTTTATTGAATTACGAAATCCGACTACACTGGAAAAGTTATTTGAGCTAGCAATGCCAGTTTGAAAGTAGAAGAACGGCGGACGTCGAAAGAAGACGCCAATATCAAACAGCGAAACCAATTTGGTACGCCAAGACTACAGCAAAACTCAAGCACATGGCTACGGAGAAAAAGCGAATCAGTGGGCAAGGAAACCCGAGCATTCAAAAACAGCCGGCGAACGTCGACAGTTCAATAGCAACCCAGGAAAAAAGTCTCAAGGCCAGTGGAGAAGAAGGAAAGCACCGAAAGGAAAAATAATTTAAACTAAAACGGATTTCTGCTGACGAGAGGGTGCGGAAATCGAAGGCTACGAAAAAACCCCTCTTCTTACAAGTTAAATACAGTAATGGTGAAAAATTTAACTCTTCCGAAGATTGAAGTCTTGGTAAATAATATCCCGGCCACCGCACTCC